AAAATTTGTTTCGCGTCTAGTGTGCAAGCGGCTTGAGTCAGACGGCTCAAACATATAGGGTTGGACTGTGACCCTTGTGCCATTGCTGTGACTAGCGCTCACGGAGCCAGTGAGATGTCATTCAAATCGAGGGAGTGGGCAGTCACACGCCCACACTGTCTTGAGAAATGGACTGAATAGCAAAATGAGCGGTTTTTTTTGAATAATTATGAATGTTAATTTTCTCTCAGTTTTTTGTAAATGCTTTATGAGACACTCAACTTTGATATTATACGTGAATTTTCGCGATGTCAAGACAAGTTTCCAGAGGCTTTGAAGCAGGGCTCTCAAGTTTTGAAAGCAGGCTAGAGTGAGATTTTCTTCGGGGGTGCATACTCCCATTTTCAAAGGTGTATAGTAACGAAGTACATGTATTTCGTTACAGTACTTAAGTATTTTTTTTGAGGATTTGCACTTTAATTGAGATTTTTTTTTAAACCGGGACTTTTACTTTTACTCAACTACATTTAAAAGATAAAAAGTATACTTTCACTTCGTTACTTTGACCCTGCAACATAGTTACTCGTTTCAAATTAAAAATATTAATTTCATTCATCATTTACAGATTATCTGGATTTGGCGTGTTCGAGAAGAACAACGGTGTACTTTGTGCAGATGTGTCTGCCAGTGGACGTGGAGCTGCAAATTTATGCACGCAGTTACAATATTATATCACTAGATGGCACACCAGGATCAGATATTAAATACACACAACCGCCAGTAAACTCAAAGAAGTGACTCCCCCCCAAGTTACAAGCATAGCCTGTATAAAAAGATGGACGCAGCACCCTGGTCTGAAAAATGAAGCCCATGTGTAAAATGGCATTCTATGTAATGGCCAGCAGATGGCGACGTCGGTGGTTGCGGAAAGAAGTTCAATGCTATCGAAGTCTATGAGAAAATGACCCTACTTTCCCACCTGATTTTTCATTTAAATAATGATTTTTCGCTAAGCTTCACTAAGCCAGAATATGCTTTAGGGGCGTGGCTATCCTCTGGTCCTCGTCCGATACGGTCAGATCCACTCCCTCTCGTCCCTCCCCGGATCTTGATTCTTGCTCTCGTCCAATGGAAATCACATCCGGTTTCAAAATGACAACATGGCGCAATTCAAATTGCCAAAATCGAGACTTCCTTTATGGTATGCTGAAACCAATGGGTGACGTCACGGTAGCTTCGTCCATCTTTTTATACAGTCTATGGTTAGAGGTCAATTCATCTAACCATAACTGTCCAAAGCTGTTAAATTGAGGTAAAAAATAATCCAAAAAGCAAATCCTGTATAATTCCTCGACTTTAATAAGCAGCTATTGTAAAAAAAAAATTAAGTGATGAAGTGATTACCTGATTTCGGGCTTCTACTTCCAGGTCTTCTTTGACTTGTGCATATAATAGCAGTATTCGCGCGCTTGTGGAAGACGTGATTACGGCGCTGCTATTTGACCTGGCAACAAGAAATACTATTTTCTGATTGGCTGATAGGTTGCTGATTCAAGCAGAGCAGTCTGCCTTCGCCTCATCCATTCATAGATAACTAATCTCTTTTATATACAGTCTATGTTACTAATGTGCGGAGAGTTTTATCACTTCTCAGCGTGAGAAATGTCATGTGTGGCGTGAGCGTGTGAACTTACTGAAATGCGTGTGTCTCACGCTCGAGACTTGAGAGCCCTGCTTTAAAGGGACTATGTCAGCCAGGGCGCATGCGCGTGACGAAGCGAAAAACTTGAAAACGTTAGGCTAACTATTTCAAGTTCATAGGAGATGTAAGGTGTAAGCGTTTCAATCTGTTTATATCGCGTTCATCCTTGAGAAGTTTATTGAAATTTTTACCAAAAAACTATCGTTATTGATTGTAGAGCCTATTCGTAGCATCAGTTTGTCATAGTTTGGTTTTTTGTGGGGTTTTTGTAGGGCTTTTAAATTAGCCTGCGTTTGATTGTTTTGTCGTCCCATGGCGGCCATCGAACTGGAAGCGGTCGCAAAAGGATCTATGACAGCTGCACTTCAGACAAAACATTGCGACAAACAGGTTCTGTGAAGGAATTCTGGAGGAATTAGTGGGCCAAATTTAGGCAGAAGAAGAAAAAGAAGTAAGAGAGTAGAGTGTGCTGCTTCGCTGAAGCAAGCACACAATTAAATCAATTTATTTTAGGTAATGTTAGCTGAAAGCCTAGTCACACTAGAGGCGGAATGAGCCGGAACACTGTCGGAATGAAAATTCTTTGTATATTCCTGGATATTCGAAGTGCATTCTAAAAATTCTGACAGCATTCTGAGTGCATTCCAAATATTCGGGGCCATTCTTGTGGCTGGCCCGAATGTTTGCTCATGCTCAGAACTTTCCAGGTGCTTTCGAAGTGGAGAAATATTGAACGGCATTCGAAGTGTATTCTAACTGCGCTCTGACTGCATTATAAATATTCTTACGGCATTCCAACAGCATTCAAAATATTCTGATTGCATTCGAGGGAGAATCGAAACGGCAAGCCACGTCAAATCCTGCCAGAATGTCCTGAATGCGCCTCGAATGAGCCAGAATGCACCTCGAATGCATCTCGATTGCTGCAGGAATCTATTTCGATGTTAAAACAATTCAGCTGGAATGCACTTCGAATGCCGTTGGAATCTTTCGATTGCCGCTGGAATCAGTGGTGGCTGATGAACTGGTGATAGGGGAGGCTGAAACCCATCCCTTAAAAATGATTGGTCATGACCTGTTTTCAGTCATTCATTTAAATTACTATTACAGAAACTCCATAAACTCTCAACATTATCAGATGTGGCCAGTTCTCATTAATAACGCATACTTTTTAACTCACGCATTTGGCGTCAGTTTTAGTGGCATATTTACATTCCCCTGCTGTAGTCAGCAATTACTCAGTCAACGCATATGGGACACTCGTGTTACATTCTAAGTACATTCTGAGTATTCGAGCTGCATTCTGTTAGAATTCTTGGATGTTCCAACCATATTCGGCAGCCAATCCGGGAGCGTTCTGACTGCATTGGAGGTGAATTCGTACAGCATTCAAGGCACTTTCCAACCAGACTTCGGGTGGTGCTCAGGCAGCAATTGAACCGCACTTGTACGGCATTCGAAGTGTATTCTAAGTATTCTGACTGCATTCTAACAGCATTCTAAATATTCCTACTGCGTTCTAACAACATTCAAGCTGCATTCGAGAGCTAATACACCCAGGATGTGCAAGAATCATTTGAGGCGGGTTCGAAGGACATTCTAAGTATTCGAAAGGCATTCTTTCAAAGCTGTAAGAATTTTGGTCAAATAGAAATTCCTGCCCGAATGTTGCGCAAATTCTTCATTCCGGCTGGTTCTGCTTGATTCCTGCTGATTTTGAATAAGTGTGACGGGGGGCATTAAGTATAGGCAAGATGACCAGAACAACGTGCAGCGCTGTAAACTGGGGTGTCATTATTTATCGATAGAAATTTCTGTAAAGTGATCTCATGTGTTCCAGCTAGTCAAGCGATAATGTAAAAAAAAATTATTACTACAACTACTACTACTAATAATAATTATAATAATATAATAATTTGGCAAGTAACGTTACATGGCGTCATTGATCCATTTATGGAAAGCCAAACTACTAAGGGCTACTGCTTACTCCGGCCTTAAACCCAGCTATTTTCAAACGCAGGAAAAAGTCATGTACAGTGATGAACAAAGAGCAACTGGGGGTATCACTTTCATTTTTTTGTACATAACAGGCTCTATTTTGATACCAATATTTTGCCTGTTTTAGATATAATTGTAAATATATCTAGCTAGTGTGAACAGTTGCTTGTATATACTTGAATAGGAGCTCGAGCAATTCTTTTCTGCTTTGCGATTTTTTACTGTAACGTGTTCTCATGGACCCACCCTGCAAAAAGACCGGTCTTTGCTGCCCTAAATGTGCTGTCTTGGAGCTGGTCTGAGCGACTGTACAAATGACGATACCAAACATTCTTTCACTGAATTTGACACAGAAGAATGAGATCTGTCAAACAGTCGTATCAATTTTAATCCAATCAATGATAATGCTGAGGCCAGGAAAAAGTCCAGCAGAGGGCAGAGTTGAACCGTAATACCGCTATGCCACAATTTCGCTGAGTCACTCTGAGCCATTTGAGTTCATGGCTAAAGCATTTGGTCCAACGGAGATTTCAGCCAAGGCATCTCTTACATACTACTGCCTCTACCTCAAAGATGGTAAATCCAATCTACAAAATGGAGGTACCGTACTGAAGGGGAGAGTCCACTGAGCAAAATAGGTTAAAATTTTTTGTGTAGTGCCAAAAATGCGGGAACACAAGCAAGTTAGAGAACTGTGTTTTGCAGCTTCCCAGCCGAAATTTTCTTGTTTAATTTAATATAGGAGTTAATGGAGTTTCGGTTAGTGCTTCCGTCGCTTTTTGGCTCATACTGCGAAAACCGTCCATCCGATTACTTGCTTAGTTACATTTTTGTGACCAGCACAACTTTTGCTGCAACTTGCATATAAAAATCTTTGTATGGAGTAAAAACTGTGAGAGTTAGAGCAAGTTTAGTAGAAGACTTTTTAAAAAAATAAATTTGGCATCTCCAATCCCACCCGAATCTGAAATGCCCAATCGGGGAACTATGTACAAGGCTTGCTTGTATGCGACCCCTTGCTGCCAATTCAGGAGAGTGTAGACAGTTAGCAGCTCTCCTCCGAAGCACGCGCCTGTCAGCCACCGCTTCTTATACACTCATTGGTTGAATCTTCGCAAGTTCAGAACGAGGGCGGAGGATACCCGGACATGAACAGGCTTAGAATCTTCCTGATGAGCCGTCTGGCCAACAGGAGGCACTTGAGCAACGAACAAGGCAACTATTATTTTCCCTTCCCGGCAGTCCCTTCCCAGTTTGCAACCCTGTAGCGCAATAGCCAATTGTGCGCTACTCTGAAAAAGCTGCCGACCACTGCTAGCTGGTACGAAGCGGGGATCGAACCCGCAACGTGAGAGTCACTTCTGCTTCGCAACGTGATGCTTTACCAAGTGAGCTATCTGGCAGCCCAATTCTTATCCAATTCACCTGTTCTCTGCATAGCATGTGACTTCCCTCTTGTCTACTTAAAGTCTTCACTGCAGTTCATTCTCTGTCAGAACGTTGATCAATACTCATTTGTGCAGAGCTCCTCGTGTGCCTTTTGTTTATTGCTTCTTCACGACTGTTTTGTCCTACTTTGAGATTGCCGTGCCTTTACCATTCTTGTTTTGCCTATTTGGATTTTGACCTATCTTTGTACAACCACAATTTCTGTTTTGGATGCCCTGTGTATGACCTACCTTTCTGGCTTTTGACTACGATTTTTTTGGCTTACTGTCTATGTACCGTTGCACATCTGCCTTACTGGTTTTGACCCCTGCCTGTTATTTCGAGTTCGCTTTTTGGATACTGTTTTTGGCTTGGCAATTGTGTCTTCTGGTCCCGACCCTTTTTGCAATAAAGGCCTGCGATTTTTGGAATTCCTGTTCTCGCGAGTGGATCCTGAACGCACCGTCACAAGTACTGGTTGAAGAATTGTTTGTATGTGAGCACACGCAGCACGCGAGCTGGAAAATTTTTGCGTCAATTCAAAAGCATATATCGCCTCTGAGTCACCAGATTACTGTGTTTCTTTGATGTGCTCCTCGGTGTGTAGCGAGATGCCTCTAATTTTTATAGATGCCATAGTCATAAACTTGGTTTTTCTATTTTGTATCCAAATACTTTTGAATTTCTGAATACGACTCAACAACTGTTACGTTTCAAACATTTCTTCAGTGGCGCCCGTTGGACAGAGAACAAGGAGGGCGATAAACGTCTTTAAACTGCTTATTAGTCTTGACCTGTGTCAGTCATTTTCCTTGATAAAAGATATTTTAACTCTCCTTTCTCAGGTGTAGCTAATTGTCTTCAGTAAGAGGAGAGATAAAATGCGTAAACTGAAGGCAAAAAAAGCGTGCATATCTTGCTGTGTAAGATGTGGCAAAAGTTAATGTGGAAAATCCACAGTAGGTTTTTTTTTTCGTGAAGGGTTACCTATTAAGGAATGTGAATTAAACATTTTTATTGAATTCACTATTCACTCGCCTTGCTATTTCATTAAAAGGGAAACTGTACTTAACTGCAAATGGATTTTTCATATTGTTGGAAAACGTGTTAACCAAGAACAATGATTAAAATCTGGTAAATAATCTCATCCGTTTCAAGGTATGCTTTCTGCCCCCTCGGTTTTCCGTTCACCGACCGCCATTGTTATTAAACACTGATAAATTAACATACAAAGAACGTTACTGTCCTTGACAGAGATATATTTAGTTTTGCTGTCGTTTTATATCACAAAACTTTTCTCTCGACATGCAAAGTACAGCGCTACAGAAATCAATCACCCTGCCCAATTATAATTGTCTGTCTTTCATTAGATTGAGACAACCGCACCGATCATTTCCTCACAGCCTCCGATTCAATTTGCCATGAATACCCAGCACATGTGGCTCGGATGGCACTCGGTGTTTCCATCACTGTTGGGAAGGTTTTTCAGTATCAGTGATGACCAGTGCAGACGGGGCGTGGGTTGAAAATTAAAGTTCACTATTCTGACGATAACAAGAAGGGGGGGAGCATATTTAGGGTGATTTATGTTTTGTTTCTAGCGATTTTATTGGACACTGGATGCATTCATTTTAACTGATCCTTGAAAAAATAGTGCCAGTCGGGAAAAGCACTAGCTATCTGAACTAAATGGTGGTCGGTGCATTCCGAATGCTGGTCGGCGACCACCGCCGATCAGCATCGGCAAAACCCTGCACTTCAGGCTGGTCTTTCAGGTATTTTTTCCATGCAATCGCGTCATTTTCAGCTGCGCAAAGTTGAGAGAATACAACCTAACTGCTGTTACACAAGGGTTTAAAGACTCTTCTGATGGTCCAATCAATGTTTTTCAATTACTGTGGGAAGTTTATACTCTTTGGAATTGGATAAGAAATGTGTCAATCAATAGCTAATTACCGGGGAAGTTTCACGTGGGCATTAGCTATAACTGTGCTTTAAGCTGTTGCAAGAGATTTTTTTCAACTGCTGGATAGATACTATGGGCAAGTATATTGAGCAGTTTGCACATCAGGCTTGGCTGAGGAGTTTAATTCATACAGTTCCAGAGAAACAGGGATGGTACTGAACTTGTCCATAAATGGTGTCCCAGCATGGCTTCATTGTGAATATTCAATAATTGTCGCGAGTGTGCCACCTATTGATAGAATAGTTTAACTGCGTGCATAAATAGATCGGCTCCGTGTCCGCTGGTGTCTGCATCTGTGCAGAAGGGTAAATGCAGGACATACCATATCATGAATTCCTGTTGCTCATCATTAACAAATGATGAAGTCACTATGTCTTTTTGTGATTAGTTCACACTCAACTGATCATCAGTTAAGGGACATTAATTTACCGTTACTTCATGGATTATTTCTGGGACCAAATTAGCTGGATTCCTCTTTCATAAAATTTTATTTCAAGCTCATACCTTGGCTCAGTCTCCATAATAAAAGTAGCTTAGTATTTCTTTCAGAATAGACCCAATGGTATTTTTGACACATAACATAATGGGTGGAACCTAAGTTGTTTTTTTTTTTTTATCTTTTGTACTTAAAACTGTGCATGTCTCATGGTGTGAATCATTGGACTACAGTGATGGAGCACTTTGTTCAAAGTTGCAAAATAATTCATTTATGATCGTGTTTGTGTTGCTGAAAGTGCAGGCTTATAAGGGAAAAAAAATTAAACAGATCTAGAAAGTTGTGGATCATTGAGGACATTTTGTTTTGTCATTTATGTGCAGAAGAAAATGCCCCATAAATTTGCAATGTAACATACAACAATGTTATTGAAAATAATTTTGACGGTCATTCTACCAATTATTCTGAGCAACTGTTGCTAACCAGGCTACATAAACTGCGACAGCATAAGGTCATTAAACATTCTATGATGAGGTTACCGAAGGCCATTGATGCAGCCAACGGACTGCTACTGAAGTAAAAAAACTTTTCTGTCGTTCTGGACACACAATCACCAACTGGCTCCAGACTGTTTTCGCCTTACAAATTCCTCTTGCGAAAATAATTTGATCATGACATCAAAAAGAACTACCATAACTCATAGAGGAATTGAACACAGGCTTGCTCAATATGCTGATGATCTACTTTTGTGTGTCAGTGACCCAGTTTCTCACTTCACCAACATTTTAGATTTAAAGTGCACCTATTATGGTTTTTCATTATTTTAATGTCATAGTGTGAATCATATCCTTTTTATGCATATTTATAAGGTCTGTGTCGGAAAACAACTCAAAGTCACCTCCAGAAGAAGCGCTCTCTGCCGCAAAACACACTGCTCCACAGCTGACTGAAATGTCAAGATAGCTTATGGCTATTTTTATCATCAATTTGTGATGTCACCATTTGAATTTTCACGCCAAGCAGATAGTTTGGCACACCCTTGAATCAAGTGGGTTACGCCCACAAGGCTACACCGGTATTTGTTTCTAAAGGTCATCTACACTCTAGAGCGCAAATCCATTTAAGGTAAGTGTTTAGTTCCAACTAAATGATTTTGGTTTTAGTGCATCTTTGTCCACTGTGCCACACTCCACTGTTTTTATTATCAATGCATACATTTTTATATTCTTGAGGGAAACCACATTTCCAGGCCATTCCAAGATCACTAGGCTAGCTGTTCTTGAGATATTAGTGTGGGTTATTTCGTGACCTCCTGGGTGAGTCAATGCATTTTCAGAGAAAGTTTGGTGGGCTTTCCAATCCTGGGAAGGCTCAAGTTTTCTTTCAATTTTTCAGCATTTGTAGAAAATGGGTCTGACCTTGGTTCACTAGAGTCCCAGAGCCTGATAAATGGCTTTGCAACTCTTTCCAGACTGATTGCTGTCAATCACTTTGTTTCTTATCTCATCTTGAATTTCTTTCCATAGCTTTCTGCTTCACATTGCCAGACTGCTCTAATTAAGTGATGTTTAGATTGAACACGGCTGCCATTGTTCATGCCTAGGTGTGTCTTATGAAATTGACCTGAATTATGAATTAAACCTGTTTAATTGGTTGATTTAGTAGGTAAAGGCAGGATAGGCAAAATAATCAAATGTACACTTTTTGTTACATTTTTTAAATGGTCTTTGCTCCCCGACAGCAATAAATAACTTATGAATTCTGAAAAAGGACTGAAAAAGATCTGTCATCTGTAGCTGCTGTAATCCTGTATAAATACCAACCAATCACTCCCTCACTGTCCGGTTGGAAAGAACCAATGACAAGCCTCCTCACCTCCCTACGTGTACTCTAGCCTTGCAGTGTATGAGCTTGAACTCAAAGTTCAATTGCTGCTGGAGAAAAGTTGCTCTGCTATCAAATGAAAAAAAGAGGTTGTTGCAAGTGTACCAGAGAATGGTCATGGCTAGAGGGCATCGCTAAAGAGGCGACCATCAGGTGCCCTAAGTAACATCTGCCCAAAAAACTTTGATGACTAGAGTGCATCACTGACGAGGCAAATATATATTGAGGGACTTTAGTTCTGCATATATTATTTACATCGTGATTTCTGACCAAACGATAGTGCTCTGGGGCAATTTGAACTCTGCCAAAACTACCACTGCCACGGTTACTTATGACTGCTTTCCCTGCCAAAAATGTCAGGAACAGAAAGTCCAAAGCAGAAAAGGCTTTGACTAAAAAGGGTGCAGATACAGCAGGAGGACAAACGCGAGTCAATATTGGTGTACCTTTCCAGCGACGGAGGCAGCTAAGGGAGTTGAAAGGCCCGAAAAGTGATGCAATGGTTGCTGTCTTTCTTTTGGACAGGTCAGTTGATGTTTTGTTTTTGGTGGTTTTCATGAGTAGTTTAGCCAACATAAATATTTTTGTTACGTTAGTCGTATTATCCCAATGCTAACATTAGCTTCCCTGTCTATCCAGGATAGTAAGTCACATTAGCAAATATATATTTGCATATACCTGGATAACAA